TGATAAATAACATAGTTATGTATAATATATTACATTTCTGACTGTATATCCCTGTAATTATTACACACTGTAGCTTTAAAAGACTTGGAAGGTTCATAACGGGTTAACTTGATGAGCCATGCAATTGTGCGCATGGCTCAACATTGAAGCCATCCTTGTTAATCTGGAAACCACATTTAATAGTTTTAACTTTTTCCTCGAATAGAGTCATTTTAATCTTAATCAGATTATCATGATTTACTACTTTAGCATTCCTTTTTAATTTATTTGATTTTGGTCACGGGCAAGACATTGTCTGAATGGAATAATGAGTAGAAAAGCTGTAGACAGGTGTGTCAAACTGCAACTCTCCTTCCTGGTCTGCATCCTGGGTTGTCATGGTTTTGGAGGACCAATAAATTAATCCAGATTCCTGGAAAGAAGAGCTGCAGCATCCAAAGCAGGATGGATGCCGTGTCACCAAATGAGGCCAGATTTTTCCCAAAAGGATTCTCAATTATTAATGTAGCCCGCATCATTTTCATGACACCACCCAGACAACCAGCAGTTGAAAGACATCATGCGGCTAAATACAGTATGTCATCAGTTGTCATCAAGTTTTCCCATTATAAACCTTCTTTTTTTGTGCAAGTCTTTTTAGATATGCACTAGATGCACATTTTGGATAGACTCCGTTATCAGTTTATAAATGCAAAAACTGAGGAAAGTAATTAATTATTAATCCCAACTACCCCTAAAACAGTAGCCTCATATAACAGTGTTTTTTATAACGTATTTGAAACTGTCTCTGCTGTTTGCAGTGTGACAAACCATCAAAGCTTAAGCTGCAGGGATACTTTTGCAAGGCGCTGCACTTTATTTACTTTTTCTCCACTCTATTGCTTTCCTTTTTACTCAGTTGGATTTTTCTGCTACCTTTTGCTGCCACAGTCCTAATAGCTACTTGATGAAAATCATCCTAAAGTCAATGCTTTCACTTGGTATTTCTTTTATTCCATTAACATCACCTCCAAAGTTTGACACCGGGTTATCTGTGTGATTAAATCCCTAACAGGCCGTACGTCGAACTAATGAACTTCCTGTTAAAGTGTGGAGGCGAGATCAGAACCTGGGTCGGACGCCGTTTACGGGGACAGTGTGAGCAACACTGGGGGGGGCTCTGCAGCACCTTTATAAACACCTGCCCTCACAGTCAATCTGACCCCACCAGTCCACCCCCCTTCGTCACCGGACCCGTCACCCCAGTGGACCCTCTGCAGCATCCTACCAGCGAGGTTGATCGAGAAGACATGACCTCTGACAGGCTGACAGGCAGCACCATCAAATCTGATCTCACTGCGTCTTGAAGCCTCTTATATCACGAGTTACACAGGTGCACCCAGGGTACACAAACATTAAGCACTTATATTATCCGTAGAATAAGAAAAAAAAGTTACGTAAGATGGGTTTTCTGTTTAGTGTTGTCAGTGAAAGCAATGTAGCAATATTTATTTAGTGTGTGGGTGTTATAAGTAGATTTATATTTTTTCAGAACAGTTATAGGACAGAAAGCCATTAATCTACCTCGCTCCAGTATTACTTTTTTCTTCAGAGTGGCACACTAACTCGTTAACACAGGGACAATTTTTTTTTAGCTAATGAGCAACTGATGGCAAAATATTACGTTTCTTTTTGTGTTTATTAGCAACTTGTGCATCGTGTATACAACTAATGTACAGGCATTTAAACAAATGATCAGACCACCCATGCTTTTCTCCATTTCTTGATCTGAAGGCGTTTTAATGCAAAAACAGAAAACGAAACGGGTGGTCTGATAGTTGCTTTCATGACTTTTTATCTTGAAATGTTACACCTACATGTAGGGATGCACGATATTGGGATTTTGGCCGATATCCGATATTTTAAAACTCATG